GTTAGGTTGCATGAGAAGGTCAACCCCAGGGTCCTTGCATTCTCAGCACAAGGTTTTGCTTGCCTAGGAAGGCCTTGGAGCTTCCTAAACAGGCATGTGCAGGGTGGAAGCAGAGCCCACAGAGATGCGTCCATTCATAAAGATAAAGACACATGGTTTGGGAAATCTGGAGAGACCTGCCACAGGGCCCAGCTGAGAGCCCTGCAATAATGAAGCCCTGGGGCACAGAGAAGTTGATGAGGATGGAAGAAAAACAGCAATAGGGTAATATATTCTAAAGGGAGAAACATAGAACCTGGAACAACATTTGTGGCAAGTTGAATATAAAAGAGATAGGACAGAAAACAGTTGGGGTAAGCTTCTGTCTACCCTGAGGGGTCTGTTGGCCGTCCCTGGATTGAGCTGATTCCTGCATCCTCTGGGCTGCAACTACTGTACTTCATCAGGCCCAGGTCAGGTCAAGGGTAGGAAGAGCCCTGGCCACCTACCTTGTGGGTTCTGAAGCCGAGATCTCCTGCAGTGCAGCTCAAGGTCCTGCTGGCAACTCCTGCCTCAGGCCACAGTGGCCAGCAGCTGCTCCACACTGGCCACATACCGGAACACTGCTCAGTTTGGGCTCTCCCAGATCACACCGTTGACCCAGGCTAATGCCCAGCCGCTTTGCTGCACGACGGTCCACGGAACATCTCAGGAAAGAGTGGGATAGACACAGTAGAGTGAACATCACTGAGCCATGGGACAGACACTCAACCACAAGCACCACCACTGTCTTAGTTGGGAGCTGATCTGAGGTAGTGAAATCCACACAAGCAGGACTGTGCCACCCAAATCCTGGGAAAGCTGGTCTTTCACTGCCATTCATATTACTACATATCCAAGGTGATCCTGTTGTGAAAATTTGTATTCCCAGGTATTTAGCCAGGCATGTTTAAAGGAGATAAAAAAAAATGTAGAAGAACTAGGAAGTAAGTTTCTGCACTAATCTAATCCCAGGTTAGAGCCTGTCATAGTCCCAGCATCTTGCTTGGCCAGGAATCCTCCTTGCAGGTCATCTACTCTATGTGAGTCCCCAAGTTTCTTCCATCTGAGGGATCATGTTGCAGGAGACTTGCCCGGTCCCAAGGAGGCCTGGGTGTTGCAGGAGACTTGCCCGGTTGCAAGGAGGCCTGGAGTGAGCACATCCCTGCCATGGCTGCAGAGAGTGCTGACTGCAGATCCCCTGCTGGCTGAGGAGAGCCATGGTCTGCAGCAATGCATGGTTAACAATGTAAGGACAGAGAATTGTCCACTTCTGAGGAGTGGACATGGGAACAGTAAGCCACATTCCCTCTGCATGCTTCCCTCTATGTCACAGCCTTTCACAAGGTGATCATTCAAAAAGCCAAAGGGGGACACAGCCAGGGACTGCTTGTGTTCTGGATTGAGCTGTGTTCCCCAAAATTCATATGTTGGAGTCCTAACCCCCCTACCTCAGCATGCAGCCTTGCTTAGAAATGGGTTGCTGCAGATGGGATTAGCTACAATGAGGTCACACTGCAGAAGGCTGGGTCCTAACCCAACAAGCTGGGTGTCCCTGTCAAAAGGGGAAATTTGGACACAGACCCTCATGTGAGAAATAACCTCAACTAGCTGATGCCAAAGAGTGGACAGAGACATAAAGTACTGTGAAGCGAGACTTTAATAATGGTCTTGAAAGACCAGGTGTCTGATGGCAGATACGCATGACACTGTTACAGCAAGCAATTTATTCCCTAGTGCGCAAGTCCCTTTCCCCAATTCCTCATTGGCTGAGTTCTATGGCATGCACAGTCTTCCCAGACATTGCCTAAGATTCATTATCCCCTTGCAAGGAATTCCTTTGTCTAATGGCTCAGGACAAGCCGGCTTAAAAGGCCCACCAAGGTCCTGAGAAGGGAGAAGAACCTGGAAATGAAGAGAACAAAGGGCTATTAACTAACCACCATCGTGATGAGTCATTTCTCAAGAGTGATGTGCTGCTTCTGACCTCTGCACATTCAGGGACTCTCTGGGAACTGGTTGAGCCAGTTAAACACTCTTTGCTAAGCTACTCCTGAAAGTGAATCACTGAGGCTATTTCCTTACACCTCACACAGAGTAACACTGAGTGAAGATGGAGGCAGAGATTGCATGATGCTTCCATAAGCCACAGAATGCCAAAGGTTGCCAGAGAACCCCCAGAAACTGGAGAGAGGCTGGGACAGATTCTCCCCCCAGCCCCTGAAGGAGCCAGCTCTGCCAATGCTCTGATCCATGAGATAGCACGTTTCTGTTGAGGGAGCCACCCTGTCTGTGACACGGCTACAGCAGCCCTGGGAAGCTGACACAGCTGGTCTCTTCAAGATTTCACATTCCCTGTGTCTTAGAGTGAAAGAGGATGGGCCCTCTGGGGTCTTCTACTGTGGGCCTCACCATTCCTAGAGACAGAAGAAACCAGGTGCAGACACTGCAGTGGAAAAAGCACAGAGTCCCTGCCCCTGCAGCAGACCCAAGTCACACCTGGGGACCCAGTGATGCTGCCGTGTCACTGGATGGTTTGGCTGCTTGAATTGGGCCACGTTTGCTCTGGCACCCTGCAGTGTGGTGTGACTGTTTTGGGCCACTGGCCATCCTCAAAACCTCTGAATGAAGTCCCAGTTCGGCCAATCGGGCTCATTGCACAAGTGGCTGGACTCATGAGGACTCACATAACAACAGCAGTTCACTCTGTTATTGAAGTGGCACAGTTTTCATCCGCTCTGTCGAATCCCCTACACGCTGTCCTGACTTCAGCTCTGATATCAGGCACATTTTCAGAAAATGAGTGGCGGATTTTACGCTTCATGTAAACCCCAACAAAAGACAAATCAGGAGCACATCTGCTCTGTGATTCCCACATCCCCAAGAGGAAAAAAGAAAAACAAAGACTGTCATTGAGAAAATATGGATGATACCAATTTGGAAATTGATCACCAGAAAAATGAGGGCAAATGTCTTTCTCTCAACTGCCAAAATGAAGTCCCATTTGTGCAAAATATTGTCCCTGAAGGTGGCAGGCACCCGAGAAGATTCTGGAGACAGGGACCTGCGGTGACCCCAGTGGGGAGTGTGTCCTGGGTGCTCCCAGGGGCTGCAGCAGTGCGACCCGTGACTCGGCTCCCCCCGAAGAAGCAGGGATGAAGGAGGGACCTTTTCTCACCATTCAGGAGACAGTGTCAGCCTAAAAAACATCAAGCGACTTCTCCAGGATCACCAGTCTTACTAACTATGCCGGAAAGTTCCATGGAGGGCAGCCCTTTGACAGTGCTCAGCTTCACCAGACCCCGTGTTGTGGGCTTGGGGAGTCACAACTGCTGCATCCCTCCCAGTCCTGCCTGTTTGCTGCCCTAGACACAGAGTCCTGCACGGTGCCTTCGAGTCTCGTGTTGTTCCCTTGCATAGTGCACGTGAGATCCCTCCCGCTCATGGCCTGAGCCAGTGCTATTCTCGCTGGCTGCTGACGGTCTTCTGTCTTCTGTTGCTCCCACGTGCCACAGCACCTGGGCAGCGTGGGGTTGGCAAGTATCTCTGTTTTCATTCGGGCCATGATGGATGCGGTTCTCTTGGCACCTGCAGGGCTTTCGAGTTCTTTCATGATTCCCTTTAATGTGCTGTAATGCAGAAGATGCAATGGTTATGACAATATATCCTGCTTCTCTGTAGCACATAATTTCCCATTGCTGTCTCACTAGTTTTCCTTCCCCAGCAGTCCTGTTCCCAGGAGCATGCAAGATCATCCTAAGTACCTCACACATTAAAGTTACAAGGTCACATGGAACCTTTCGAAGGGTCTGACTAGCAGAGATCACTGCATTGTGTCTTGGTGGCTTTTTCCTGGATGGTGGCCACACAATGTCCAAAGCTGTGGCTGGCATGCAGCAGGGGCTCAAGGGAATCACTGTTAGTGTCTTTGCTATGCTGCGGGGGCGCCTCCCACTCATAAGATTAAAGCCTGATAAAGATCTTTTAATGAAACAGGTGTTTGCAGGGCCTCATCGTGGGAGAAGATGCCGGCGTTCCACCCTGATATTCTGGAGCTCTGTGTGCTTGTTATGCTTTATTACATTTTATTCTTTGCTGCCTCATAACTATCGCTCTGGGAGACTTGGAAGTAGGATTCAAAATTATACTAAAATATTTAATCATACTAATGATACTTATGATTATGGATTTTCAGGAGATGGCTTATGGCAGTGGGGCCCAGAAGGGGACAACGAACCTATGTAGGCATTCGTCTTGTCTGGTGCCTGAGAGTCTGGCCTGGCTGCTTGGAAGGAGTTAATGTACAATCTTTTGTTTTACAATAGAAGTAGAAGTTTAGTTAAGCAAGTTAATTTTTAGAGTGTTTATTTAGGAATAAAGAATAGTTAGATGTAGGTGTGAATTAAGTTTTAATAACGTCATAGAAAGTCTATTGTACCATAGATGTAGTTTCGGTAATAATTGCAAGTGATGAAAAGTGATGATTATATGGGACCAGTGGGTTGTAACGTTCTTGCTCAAAGGAAAGGACATTGTAATTGTCTTTTCTGGGAATAAACTGTAATCCTATTTTTCTTAAAACATATGTCACTTACAAAGAGATATTATGATATTGTTCATTGATTATTTTATGATTATGTAGCAAATAAGAAAGAAAAGTATAAAAGTCTGATGCTTGCTTCAATAAATTGTCAGCATTCAGCAGATCCCTTGAGTCTGTGTGTTTGTTGTCCCAGCATTCAACAGATCCTTTGGGTCTGTATGTTTGCTGCCGCTCCATCGCCGACACTGCCCTTCCTCCCTTTTGGGGGATCCCTTACCAGTGGGGACCTTTACAATCTCTGTG